TGGCAGGACTGGCTGGGAGGGTTCACCAGACTGACTTTTCCGGAGTAACTGAGTCTGCTTCTGGTCTTCAGGGCCTAGTGGAGGGACAACTAAGCAGCGTCAGGAACCAGGGACGAAAGTGACCCTCGTTGCTTTATTCTGTATTCACAGTGCCCGCGGGAGCCCACCCAGCACACAGCAGACATGGGAAGGCGAGGTGGCACCCAAGGGCCTCATGGAGCGCGGTTGTGCACCTGCGCCTTGGCCCAGGCTTTCCAGCTTCCTGCTTCCGGTCTTCTAACCTGAGAACCCTGGGGAGACAATGCCCCCTTCTGGCTCTCTTCCAAGGTGCTCCTCTTTGTTCCGGGAAAGGAAGGGAAATGACCAGTGGAAAGCTACCATTTAGTTCCGCTTCAGTTCTGGAAATACTGACTGAGTCTACTCAGTCACTGCTGCCGAGACACCATAGTCTTTGCCCTCAAGAGCTTATCTCCTTGTGTGGGACACAGGCACTGAAACAAGCAATTGCACCTTTTCTCTTTTTACTTTTTTGGAGACAGAGTCTCACTAAGTTGCAATCTGCCCAGGCTGGGCTTGAATTTGAGATCCTCCTGCTTCAGCCTCCCAATTACAGACATGTGCAGACATGCACTGCTGTTTACACAAATCATTTAATGTGGTACACTGTAGCTTGTGTTCAGAACATTTATTCTTTGTTTGTTTGTTTGTTTTTGAGACAGGGTCTCACTATGTAGTTGAGACTGACCTGGAACTCACTGTGTAGCCCAGACTGGTCTCGAACTTGCAGCGATCCTCCTGCCTCAGCCTTCCAAGTGCTGGGATTCCAGGCATGCGCCACCATGCCCGGCCAGAACATTTATTCTAACGTTATATATATCTTTAAAAATACATGTTATTTTATCCCACTACCCGCCTTGCTAACATATGGAGTAAGGTTGGCAGGATGCTCTCTCAGGAGGCCCTTGATTTGGTCCCCAGTATTATAGGACGCTCAGTGAACTGAATCTCAGATTAACAACAGGCAAGCCTTGCTGGACTTACACATACAACTGCAAACCCTGCTGTTTTACTGACTTGCGTGCTGAGCAACAGAGACCCACAGGTAAATAAGACAGCCGAGAATCCTGCTTTCAGAGCTGGGTGCGGTGGCACACGACTAATCCCAGCACTCAGGAGGCTGAAGCAGGAGGATCACCAGGAGTTCGAGGCCAGCCTGAGCTACATAGCGAGACCCTGCCTCAATCAAACAAAACAAAGTACAGAAAGACCAGAGTGCAGAGAAAGTGTGAGGAGCTGAGGCTGGGGACATAGGCAACAGGCAGGGCATGCAGGTCCCTGAGGACCATGCTGAAGCACTTGAGCTTCCAAGGCAGATGGTGGAACCGCTGAGCTAAATCCCCAGCCCTGGAAGGGTTTTAAAGGATATGACCACATCTGCAGTTGTGCAATCCGAAATCCAGCCCTCCTGATGGCTTGTTAGAGAACGGAGGGATGTGAGGAGCAACGCAGAGAGGGCAAGTGGGAAGCTGGGCCAGTACCCAGATGAGTCACGGCAGCACCTTGCCAGTGGCAGTGGATGGTGAGAAAACAAGTGTGCTCCCCGGGCGCTGAGATGGGTTTCAGGTGGTAAGGACGGGCGTTAGGGCAGACGCCGGAGTCAGAGGTGCACTTGGATTAATGTTGACAACCTCATGCAGGGAAGGAGCCCGCTGCATTTGTGATTCAGACGGTGGAGTTCAGGTGAACCAGGCAGAGTTTAGGAGGCCTTCAGGTCATGCAGTGAGCAGGTCCGAGGGCCTGGCTGGAGGGTGGAAGGGGACCCAGAGGAGTGGTGAGGGCCCCACAGGTGAGACAGGGGAAGCAGGCGGCTGAGATTCCGGAAAAGGAAAAGGCGCTTGGCGGCAGGGGCAAGCGAGAGAAACCGGGATGGGGGCGGCCCCTTCCCTTACGTGGCCCTGAGAGAGTCGCCTCGTTTTGTCACCAGTCACCTGAGGGTTCTTTTGCTCTGCTAGTGGCTCTGGGCTTTTAAAGAACAGCCCCGCCCTTGGAGTTTACAGCGCTGGGTGATGCTGCCAGCAGGGGGCACCAGAGAGTGCGGGGCGCTGCCCCCTTGACTGCGGCTCTCGGTCCGTGATTTGTCAGCTGCCGGTCTCTGCATCTCCTCGGGGCTAACAGTGGCAAGCGTTAATAGCTCTTCTAAAGCAGCAGCCTGGGATGAGCAAACACGACAGTTCCTCCTCTCCTGCCTCAGCCTCCCAAGTGCTGGGACTATGGGCGAGGCCAGCAAAGTCGGACCCAGGACTGGTCCAGATTCGGTTCTGCTTAGTTCCAACTCAAGCCTGCAGAGGTCAGGGCAGATACCTCCTGGGGCAGCACAGGACGTTCAGGTGGTCGCAGCTGTCGGGGCAGGAGTTCCAGAGCATGGAGACTGCTTCTGGATGGACAGCTGTTGTCTCCAGGAAAATGGCGGAGCTAGAAGTGGGGACTCCTCAGGAGGGCTGGTTGTGTCAATCCCAGCTTACAGGGTTTGGGACACCGGGGATACTACTGATGGGCCTGGGTCCCTCCCTGACCTCTGCCACCTCAGGGGGTTTTGCTGGCACTGCAGCAGCAGCAACAAACCTCCGGTCAGAGCCGGCGGGAGTGTGGCCAGGAATAACAAAGAGGGCAGCGAGGCGGGGACCCATCCTCAGGGCTAAGGGAGTGAAGGGAAAGGCGGGGAAGGGCACTGCCTGCCAAACCACGCCCCCCTCGGGCTGTCACAGGAAGAGGAGGGAGACAGGCACTTCTTGTCACCTTTTAATGAGTTCATTTTGGTTTGGTTTTGACAGGGTCTATGTAGTTCAGGCTGGCCTCAAACTCGGAGGCAGTCCTGCCTCGGTCTCCCGAGTGCTGGGATCACACCCAGCTAAGAAGTGACTGGTTCTCATGCAAAGGTGGCCTTGCATGGATACAGGAAATAAGAGGACTCCAGGTGACTTGAGCAGGCACTGCTAGTCTACCCCAAGATGGGAGAAAACAGGAGGGGCACGGTGGAAACAAGATGTTGCACTTTAGTCTGGTCGCATCAAAACCCTTATGGGACCGGAGCAGGATGGAGCCCAGCAGAGGTACCCCAGGAGCACCCACAGCACAGGGCCAGGGGCTGCACGCGCCCCTCCTGAGTCGCAGCAGCCCAGAGGCGCAGTGGGGGCTCCTGCATTCACAGCCACGTCGGCCTGCGGCAGAATGCAGGGCGCTCACCTGCCCGGGCCTTGGAGCTCAGCTGTGCGCGCCCCTCACCCTGTGAGGCCTCCATGCTGCTGCTCCGGCACCTGAAGCAGCAGTCACTTTGGTCCCCAGAGCCCCCCCCCCCCG